CCGATCGAAAGCCTTGACGCGATACTACGATTACAAGTCGGCTGCTCTCGGATGAGTCGGATTCCAGTGTGGGTGCAAGCACTGTAAGAGGCCATCAGCCGGCCACGCAAGTCGTCACGCCCTCGGAGGCTGTCGGTAGCACCACCCTCACGGTTCGGGCATCAACGTGCACATCAAAGTTCGGGCCCTCCGCCGGCTGCTCTGCACGACGACCGACACGATTGCGCGTTTTGGGGAGATGCGATTAGGTGCTCACTGTGTCCCGTCACCCTTCAGCTATGTTAGAAAGTGGCAGCCATGGCAGGGATGCCAGCCTTGGTGCATCCTGGGGAAGTTATGAGAAAAATGACAGATGTTGATAATTGAGGGCTGGCTTAATGTGCTATTCGCAAACGTGAGGGGTAGGGACAACTTGCAGACATCAGAACAAGCGATCACTCGGCTCGCGGTCACGCACGCGACCGCGTGACATGACGCGCCCCTCAGAGAGTTTCGTCACGCTTAGCCTCTCCCACCCTCTTTTCCCGTACATATCGGAAGTTCCGGAACTCTCAACCCCCATGTCTGACCACGAGCACGAACACGGCGTTTCGATGGACACGGATGCCGAGATGCACCATGTAGAGGACTTCCAGGTCGCCTCGCCTGATCCAGAAGCCACAGAGGAACGGCCAGCACCAGGCGTGCCAGATGAAAACGTACCCGCGGAGAGAACGAAGCGGAAGCCCAAGCCCACTGAGCCGCTGGCACGCGAGCCGGGCAAGTCGCTCTTTCCTGTGTCGCGCATGCAACGCGTACTCAAAGCAGATAAGGCACGTCTGTTCCATCATGCTACCTTGAGGAAGGCTAATGGCAGCGGCAATGAGTAGGAACTGCCTATGGTGTCTCGAGAGGCAGTGTTATTGATAAGTCTCGCCACGGAGGAGTTCGTAAAGCGCATCAGCGAGGCGAGCCATCGACTGGCTGTTCGTGAGGGGAGGTCAACTGTGCAAAGAAGGGACATCGGTGTGCATGATATCACTAGCTGTCACATTGTCTGGCTGATGCGATGTGTCCCGCAGCGTCCATTTGCAGGCGAGCAGACGAATTCCTTTTCCTTGAAGGTGCGTGCTCTACATATGCTCTTCCTGCTGCTTCATCCCACGTCTGCATATTGCTCCCACGCCTGTGGGTACGCGCAGAGCTTATACCACTATACGAACCTGAAGCGGCCAACCGACGAAAACCTAAAGCGCTCCAGCCCAAAGACGACGTCGACTCAAGGCAACCAACAATGCTTGACCAGTTTGTTTCGCGGACAAAGGACGCTGAAGATGCAGAAGGGGCAGAAGCGCCCGAATACGAAGAAGACGGCGGCGGTGGAATGGGGGATGTGTCCATGAATGAGGACGGGACGATGACTGCATGAAGTTGTCCAGCTTTACATCTGAGGAAGATACCTTCGCCTTCGTACGGTATTCATCCATCAGCGCAGCAGCATGGGTCACCTTCGTACTACACGCTTTTACACCCGCCAATCCTGCGTTCGTTTCTTGAGTCACGCAGCATGTCATAAGTAATACAGAAATTCATTTACTACAGGTACAGTAGCACTTCTTGTCCCGTAAATACAGTGTCTAACAGTACTCATAGTCGTGGAGTGCTTCTAGCCGGGGCTGTTCACATGCCCGCCGGGTGAGGAAGGGTGGGAAGCTTACGCGCCGACGACGAGGCCCGCGAGTTGGCCCTGAGAGTGGAGCTCGACAACCTTGTCGCAACCGCCAACGTGCTTCTGCTCTGCAGACATGATACAGAGGTCAGAGAAGCTCGAACAGTGAGGCATAAGACGATGACGCACTGATAAAGATGTTGGGAACGGAACGTTGGTGCGTCTTATCGTAGAGGTAGCCCTGCATCTCGGATCCCTCCTCGAGCTCGTCAAGCCTGCAGAGTGTCACTCGGTGAGCCACATAGGTAATGCGCAAAGACAAACGAGGCACGCACTCGAGGATCTGGGTCTTCGCGTCCGGGAACTCGCTTGCGATGAGGTTCTTTGCCCGCTTGCAGTATGGGCACCACGTCTTGGAAAAGATAGTGATAGTGTTGTCGCTGATGGCAGTCTGTGCGCACCCGTCAGCACTGCAACAGCCTCCTATTGCCTCTGCTGAATACTCACCTCGACGGTGTCCTTGTGGAGGCCCAGATGCACCTTCACCCGCGCCTGGAGATCCTGCATGCTCACAGGCTCCCTGAACGCAACCAGCCGGCCCTGGCCGCCCTCATCACCAAGGGCCTCGCCGGTATACCGTACCTTTGCGCTGCCACTACCCGCCCGCACGCCATCTGCAAGCCAGTCGTTGATCCCGCCGGTGACGCTGTCGAGCGCGGTGTGCGGGGCGTACACGGACACGCCCGCGGCTGCGAGGCGGAGGAGTGAGCGTTGCAACGGGTTGGACAGCGTCAGCGAGGGGAGCGGCCTGAAGATCGTGGGATGGTAGGCGACGATGAACGCGGTCGGGGTCGCGAGCGCTTCGGAAGCGACTTCTGTCGTGAGGCTTAATCGGATGCGTGAGCTGCCAGCTAGTCGGAGGTGCAAAAGACAAAATTCTCACTCGATGGTGAGAAGCACCTTGGTGGCGTTCGGCCGCACGAAGGGTGCCTCTACGTGTTTAGAATGATATCAGCACAGATCCTCGCGAGCGAAGGGAGAAGGTGTTGGAGCTTACACACCTAGCAGTAAGCCGACCTGATATTTCATGTCATCACGGTCAAGATTTTGTCTGCGGAAATTATTGAGGACCAGGGCAGTGCACGCACGTTATCCCACTTTTCGGCGAGGCGCAGCGGCGCGATATGCTCCATCGCTCGATACACAGATTTGACAAGTGCCATCTTCGTGTTTTGCACTGCCAACAAAAAACTTTCAGATTGCCAGGCGTCGGGTGCAAAATGCGTGGCACTCACTGACGCGGGGTTCACGTGGTGTACGCCGGCCTGCACGTGATGCGGCATGACGCCGCAGTGTCAGGCGGCCAATAGTCAGCAAGAGTATTAGACAAGAGCTTTGCAAGCTTCGGGGCTCGTTCGCTGCATGTTTCTCCGCCCGACTTATAGAAGCTTCACATCCTGGGTCAACTCTCCCTTGCATCCCGTGCGTCTTCCCACCTCCCGCAGCCCCTCCAACACCTCAGTCGACTAAGCTGGCTGTTGCCTCTGCTTCACATCCATCCCCCTACCAGCGTAAAGTCATGGCCGTACACAGTGCGTTGGCTCTTGCTCTTGACTGGCGGTTCTCAACCTTTGCTCACTCGTGCATGATAGTTCAAGTCGCGTACCCCGCGGGACAGGACGCGAGCGCGACGGTACGCACCGTCGCGATTTGCGCAGGCTCGGGTGGGTCGACGTTCAAAGACGTGCGCGCCGACGTGTACTTCACTGGCGAGATGAGCCACCATGAAGTCCTCGCTGCCGTTGCGAGCGGGACGAACGTAATTCTTTGTGCGTCCTTTTTCTAGCCGTCCATTATTTCCAGGGCTCAAATTCCTCTTCATAGGTGGTCACACAAACACCGAGCGCGGCTACCTGCCGACTCTCGCGCAGAAGCTCAAGAGCACACTTCATGATGTTGTGGCACCCGCGGAAGCAGACACAGCTCACGCGTCATTCCTACGCTCACTGGAGGTCGAAGTTAGCAAGGAAGACAAGCACCCGTTGCAGATAGTCTAGTAGATCGTGGGCTGTTGGTTTGTGACGTGCTCTTCCTGCCACTACTTCCTCACGTCCGAGTGATGCACCAAACTTTGGGGCATGGACAATATACATATGGCCTGTAAAGCCGAAAAAAAGTATGTTCTGGATTGCTCTACCGATCGACCTCGCTATATACAGAAGACGTTTAGTCAAGCTCTCTCCGAAAACAGTCTCAATGATGACGTACCCAAACACAAGATCCTAGGACAGCAGTGAGCAAACACGCGGTAGAATAACAAGGCGAGATGGCATACCATGGTACCGATGACAGCGACAGCATCCGCGAGGTAATGCTAACAGATGGATCAGTCAATGACTCCAGCTATCTCACTTCTGTAGATTTACTCACATCTGTGGACAGGAACACGTCAGCATCAGCTTCAAGTCAAGAAATATACGACTTACGTCTCATCATGAAGTCGGCACCTGCAAGATGTGCGAAACCAGGGGCACGGATCTTGCAACGGTAGGGACGGTTCGTGCCGTCCGAGACGAGGTAGACACCCATTTCACCCTTGGGTGCCTCAATAGCGCTATAGGTCTCGCCGGGCGGGACGGAGTAGCCCTCGCTAAAGAGCTATCGCCCCAGCCTTCAGTTTGTGGCTCCAGAAGACAGAAGCGGGACGGACCTTGAAGTGATGGATCAGCGACTCCATGCTCTCCTTCATGGACGCACGCGGTGGTGGCACGAGCTTGTAGTCGTCAACCTTGAACGCGCCGGCAGGCATCTTGTTCAGGCACTGCAATTTCGCGCCAAGCGCGTTCAATTCTGGACACTGCTCTAGAGAGACTCGGGACTCACCTGATGAATGATGTGGAGCGACTCCCGGAACTCCTGGACACGGCAGAGGTACCGGTCATAGCAGTCGCCGTTCTTGCCAATCGGGACGTCGAACTCGACCTGCCCGCAGATCTTTAGCAGTGCCCGGACCGTCAAAGCCCACCAAAAACACACCTCATCATACTTGTCGTACGGCTGCACCTTCCTGAGATCCCAGGGAATCCCACTTCCGCGGAGCATGACACCACTGAAGGAGTAGTCGAGAGCCTGCTTCGCAGTGACCTTACCAATGTCGATCGTGCGTGACTTCCAAATGCGGTTTCCGGTGACGACCTCCTCGATCTCGTCCACGCGAGAAGAGAATTGGGTCGCCCACATGTAGATGTCTTCCAATAGGCCGTGCGGCAGGTCAAAGGCCACGCCTCCAGGACGCACGTACGCCGCGTGCAGCCGCGCGCCGGAGACACGCTCGTAGAACTCCATGAGCTTCTCGCGTTCCTCGAAGCCCCACAGGAAGGGCGTTAGCGCACCCACGTCCATCGCGTGTGTTAGGATGGCCATGAGGTCTGCGGTGCGTCAATGTCACAATGAGCACTTCTCGCTAGTACGAATCGCGAGGAAGAAGAGGATGAACGGCGACGCACGGTTCAGGACACGGGTGATCTCTCCAAACATGGTACGAATCCATTTGGCACGCTCCGGGACTTCAATATTGAGCAGCTTCTCCACAGCAAGGGAGTAGCACAATTCATTTGTCACTAAAAGGGTCGTTAATGCGTCTACGCTGAAACAGGGTGGACGTGTGGGACGGACTCATTGAGACGTAGTCTAAGCGGTCGAAGTAGGGAAGTGCCTGAGTATAGGTCTTGTACTCGATAAGCTTCTCTGTTCCTCGGTGTAGCAGGCCAATGTGCTAGTTAATGTGACATCTGAGAGGTGCAAGAGAGAACACGCAAAGCAATAACGCACTGGGTCCGCACGAAGAATTTCCTCTCCATTGAGCTCGAGAATGAGACGAAGCACACCGTGTGCAGCGGGGTGTTGCGGACTGGAATTTCAGAGTCAGAGGTTGTAGTTCTGGTAGAAAATCTTGACTAACCCAAAATTGACTGTACGTCGCGATAAATTCAGTGAACCAAATAGTGGAACTAGAAGCAAAGCATACCGGTGAAGTGCCTCATTTGAGACTCGGGTCTGCCACCATGTTCGCGCAAAATATCTTCGGCGCCCATGGTGTGAAGTTCCTCTGAGATGTGCGTGTCTATGACTTTTCTGCCGGTAGCAGTCCTGGGTGAGGCGTCCGCATCATCCACCGGAGAAGCGAACTGGCGGACGGATGTGCTGGAGAGGCCGCGACGGGTAGCGAGAGTGGGTGCGGTCGGAGTCGCAGTAAGCCTCCGGGATGCCCGTGCCAGCTGGCGACGGAATATCGTCGAGGTCATGGTGCTCGTCGTCGTCGGTCGGTTGCAAACGGAGTGCTCTCATTCGACGATGACGCCGGCGTCTCGATTGTCCGAACAGAGAAAGCTCTTCTCACGCACATCGCTGATGTGAAGCGGCGGCCCTGCGACTCGATATCTTCAGTACAACTCTTAAAACTATGCTTCGAATCTCTTGGCTTTGGATATTTGCCCTATGTGTACTAGGATTATCTACTTCTTCTGCTCGTGCTGAGGACGATCCATGTACCGTTTGGGGCGGCGACAAATTCTACGACCTCAACCCACTCAAGTCAAAGTAATGACTCTGCTTCTCCCGTCCGTCCATTGAGGACTGCCACTAATTCGCGTCAGTCTCCAGTGAAGATTACAAGTTCAAGTCTCCAGATGGCCACAATTACACTCTGAACGTTTGCCAGTCTGTGAGGACCGAGCTTTGGGCCGTAAAAGTCGACGAGCCCGATCGTGTTGCTGGGTTCACACGTCGCAAGCATGGTGATTTCGCTCTAGGGCAGGTGAATATCCTTGGTCGTCGTTGCCCGTAGTGATGTTGTCTCTCTCTAGCTACGTGAACACTACGTTGGCGATACGAGGCGACAACCCTGTGATGACGGTGGCCGATGGGTCTGCTTGTCCTCAGCACCCCGAAATGCATGCTGCTGCTACTATTAATTTCGTGTGCGACTCCTCAGTTACGGATAATGGTGAGTGCTGGGTCACCCTTGGTTCTCTGATCGTCCCCTCAGCGACTTCAGGCACACCGATGCTGGTTGCGCAACTACCACTACCGGAGGATGACTCCTGTTTCTTCTTCATCGAATGGAAGACCCATGTCAGTTTTCTGCCATTGCAGAAAGCACTGCTCTGACTTGTCGTGATATAGATTGCGTGTTCTACCCAACCGAAAGGTAGCGGCTGGGGAATCACGGGTATCCTTGCAACGATGTGAGTCTCCGTTCCCCAAAGGACATTATGCATGTTCCTTAATGCTCTATTCAGAGCCGGCCTTCTCCTGATGACATACATCGTCGTTGGCGGCTTCTACAATTATACGGTGCTTGGCCTGAGGGGACTGGACATCCTTCCTCGGTACTCTCTCTTCTCCCTCCGAGATACGATCAACTTCTTCCAGATTTGCATTGAGAGGATCAAGGAACGTTCGTCAGATACGCTGCACTTTGGTAACAGCGGCATGGGCGGATGGAGGCGGCCAACGTCGAACAGAGGCTACCATGGTCTAGACGAAGAACAAACCGGCATGCTCAGCGGTCCGCCGGGATTCCTGGACGAGATGGACGAAGATGAGGATGAGCAGCAGCAGCACGAGAATGGACAGCCTGGCGCCGGGATGGATGACAACGGTGTTATTCGATTGTAGGGCTGCTGTATTTATCGTCCCGGCAAAGCTACGGTGATTCTACTGCAGTGTCCAGGGGATGCGCCCCGCTGCGCGCGTCCTGCGAGGCTGGCCTTTGAGTAAGTACGGTTTTCTGGATGCGAGCTGACGTCGGTCGCAGATGCAGATGAGATAGCCGGGCGAACCAGAGTATCGGAAACATAGCTCAGGGCTCGCTATCTGAGAAAACAGTGTCGCTTCCAAGCGATCGATGCATTGCCTCCAACTTTACATAACGCTTCACTGCCGACTGACAACTCTCACTGTACGTATGGCTGTACGATAAGAGAACTTGAAAGCGTGAGCCCACGTTCTGGCGACGGCCGGCTGCAGGGTTCCCCAATACCGAAAGCAAATGGCTCAGGGCGAATGTTTGGGACAGGATTGCCATCCTGGCCGGGAAGAGCTCTCGTCATTGTTCTGTACACACAAGAAGCTTGTCTGGGTCTTGAACGTGCTGTCGCTGCCCGCGGTCGCTGTGGGAGACGAACAGCGAGACAACGAGCAATTGTCCGTGGTGTACGTTGCGTGTGAAGGCACAGAGCCATGGCGACTGCGTTTGTTTGTACACCGAGGCGGAACAATGTTTGGAGGGATTTGCCTCCGTGCGTTCGCGGATGTATTGTGACCGTGAGAAAAAGCAGCAGAGTTACTATGTGGCGTTGGGGAACTGGCCAGGTCCGAGCGTGAAGAGGAACCTCCACCTGGTTTCGCGTGAGGGTTGGAGATTCGCTTCCTGGATCTCTCTCTTCCCATTGTTTTCTCTTTTCTCTTGTCTTTTGTTCCCTCTCTTTCTTGTGCCATTTCTTCTAGCATTTTGTCACGACACGATTACGACCGTCATGGACCCCCACTACACCCACAGTCTGTCCCAAGGGGACGAAAACTACATGCATGCCGGAGGGTATGGTACTCCGTATACCTCAGATGAAGATCCAAACTACGGCATAGTGTACCATCAGCAAATGCAACCTCCTTACCCAGTCGTACAGACTGGCCTGCAACGTGGGTTTCGCCTGTTTGCTTGCAGCACCGCACGCATCCCTATATCTGATCCGCACGTTTTCTTGTATGATTTCCTACAGGCCACCTGTCCGAGTCAGAGATCCAGCAAGCCATGCATTACCAGCGCAACCTGAGCATCGTGGGTCAGCCGTATGCGAACCCCGTGTATAACGCCTCGCCGCCTCATGGCGCCATGCCTCTATCCGGATCACCCCCTCCCCCCTCCCCCAGCCATTTGTACGACCCCCTCTCGCCCCCTGTGTCCGGATCTGATACATCGGCGGACGGAATATACCACCATTCCCGCAACAGCAGTGCTACCGGCTCTCCTTCCTCATCCCGCGCCAATTCGCTTGTGCACCGCAACCCGTTACGGTACAACCCGACACCTTCTCCAACAAGCTCCTCGACCGGTCGTCGCAGCCGCGGCCGCTCTCTCTCTGACGACGACGAAGGAATGGGCCTGGGTATGGCCGAGAGTCTCGCAAACACCCGCAAAGAGGCAACTAGAAGACAACGGATTGAGGCGGAGCAACGTCGCAGGGACGAATTGCGTGACGGCTATGCTAGACTCAAGGATGCACTGCCAGTGTCCAATCAGAAGAGTTCGAAGGTTTCCCTGCTTGAGCGAGGTAAGCATTCTTCGTCTAGAGCATTGCTCATTTCCGCTCACGATTTCCCTTTCGCGTCCATATAGCCACAAACTACATCATCATGATGGAGAACCAAAACCGCGACCTCATGAAGCGGCTTGAAGCGGTAGAGCAAGAGGTCAAAAGGTTACGCGCCCTCAACGAGAAGATCTCACTCAGCGTAGGCAGTACCAAGTCGCCATCGCCCGCTCGAATTCACGTAGATCAACACTCCTTGTCGCCACAGCCAGAGAGCTCGCAGCTTGCGAGCATTGTGGGTCAGGAGCCTCCCCAGGAGGATTCCGACTCGTCTCCTTCGGACGAAGGTTTATAAATGGCATCTCGCTTTGTATCATCTTCCACCGGCTACGGACTTATTCATTCTTGCACCAATACGTCCCATTAACCATATGTCCCCCGTGTACTGTCTTCCTGTGCCATATCTCTATCTTGCTCCCATCTTCCCCTCCTTTCATCTTTCCTCCTGATGTACATCTCCGCCGCCCACTTTTGCCCCCTGGGTCGCGGGTTCAAATCCGAACACCCCACATCTACGACACGATCCCGTTTTTCGGCAACGACGACAGGTGGTCGAGCTCGAGGGACGGTTGGCAGCGCCCGGTGCGCTCTCACAAGCACAAATGCCTGCAACCCTCCCTCGCTCCACCCATACTCGGATATTTCCCTCGCAAGCGAGGGCCCCGCGGCTCGATGCTGAGGGGTTCGTGCGCTGCAAGAAATGCCGTTCCGGATACCTCTCCTGCGTAACACCCGTGTCCGAGGGATGCCACAGGAGCCGAGCTCCATACGCCCCTTGTCGATCGGAGTCCGCAAAAAGGATATTCTATCCGTCGTAGCTCGCTTTCATCTCGCGCTCGCAGGTTCCGTACGTTTGTCGTCCGCCGTCTCGAGGAGAAACTGCCTGCTGGATACCATCAGACCTTCCGATACCTCGATGAGCCACTATATCCGTAGCCGGTGCTGTACATGCGACCGTTGTCTGTCTCGAACGTCTCGTTGCATTGTCTCAATGTCTCTTTTGTATTCACAGTCTCTCATTGTCACTATTTAGAACAAGTAACCAGCATGAATCTCATCATCATCTATCTTGATTATGCCTTGATGCACATGAGTATCTGCTTCTACACCAAAGGAAATCGCAAAATCCCACTAGTAGAGCGAGGGTGATCGCTAAAAATATTCGCGGGTCATGGGCAAATCGCATGTACGTGTATGCAGGGGCGAACAACTTCTAAACAGCTCAAGCAGCTGCGCTGCACACTAAGCGTCGCACACCACACGCCGCACCACAAGGCATGCCGAGCTCGAAGGCTTCTTTGATGAATGGATCGGTCATGAGTATCAACGTCGGTGGAGAGAACATGAGATCCTGCGCGACTTGCAGAGGCAGGCCTGCCACACCAGCGGGAGTATTCTTAGCGCTACTGTGGCATGAGGCAGCAAAATGCATAATTTGACCAATCGCACGTTCATTTTCACGGTGAATGGCCTTCGCTAATGCCATTTTCTTCTGCCACGTCGACGGCGGAGAACGAAGGCGGACGAATATGTGAATGTGAAGGCACACGGCTATCGGATAACACGTGTTTCGCATGGACGGTGGCCTCGGTCAGAAGTTCGAACGTTGTCAGACGGTCAACGCGGTTGACGACGTTCGCACCGCGGAATGGCCACTGGTCGGTTGTCTCATCGTTGTAAGCGACGACGAAGCGCAGGCAGGCCTAGTCACAGCCCCCACGGAGATTGGGTTCTACTTGATAGGAGGAAAGGGTCCGCGGAAGAGGTCTCGGCTGAAGCGGCAGACGGACTTGCTAACTGGAACAAAGACGTCAAGGGATGTGCAATGCAGAAAGACTCGGACGAAGTGCTCCGCGTGTATCTTCGTACTAAGTATATTGCACTAATGTCTGAAGAATTCTTAAGGATCACTGATACCTCCCGGTGTGCGATAACCGTTCTACCGCTATTGCCCGAGTAATCTCGACTGTTCCAACAAGGAACATCTGTTCCCAATTGTTTCGAGTGTCTGTCTCACAGCAAGCTCCCGGTAACTTATCCAGGACGCCGCAAACGTTAACAGGGTAGCGATATGCACTAGAACGTGGCGATGGCTAACGGCGTGGGCCTCTCCTTCCCTCTCCTGAACTGTTCCATAAAAGCATCCGAGATATAGAATTCACAGATCCGCTCGTGACAAAGTTTGAGGTCACGCCCGACTGCCTGGCTCCGCTGGACTCTCGCGGCGCCGCCTGTAACGCACTTGGAACCATTTCGACCCGCGCACTATGCGCCTGCTGGGAGCACGTTTGCGACCATGGACCATATACTGCGTGCGACACAAGCAAGTTCTTCGCTCCCACCACCTCCCGTGCGGCATTTGCAAGGTTAATCCGTGTTTGACTGTCCATGGCCATCGATGAGAGACTCGTGTCTTCCCACCGCCATTATGGCCGCTCATACTGCGTTCTGTGGTCTTCATCGACGCTCGGATACGTTCATACCAGATTATGGTTCGCAGGTCTGTGAAGAGCTGTACAAGGATTCTGGGGGTACGATAGGTGCGTAGAACTTGTCAGCAGGTATCCTTCGAGCCGATATTAACGTGCGAAAACTCATCCAGGACACTGGGAGACATTTTTGTAAATGCCAAGCTATCCTTCGAGATATTGGTATGGCTTTCATCCATTTGGCGCAACGATAGGAACTGAGGTCTTTCTTGCAAACAGCCTGCGCGTCACAGGGACACCTCGTCCGCCCGGGCTTTCCGTCGTGTGCGTCTCGTGCCTACACTCCGAACCTAATGGCACGACACTGCTGATATTGGGCGCCGACCGTATCCTTCCAGCTAGGGTCTACTGCGTCGTGTCTATACACGAGTCTCGATCCTCGCTATGCTGAACCGTAAAAATGGGCCGAAACTCTCCCTCGCAAAATCCTCGTGACGATCCCTGCTGATTATCGATATGGTGAGTGTCTTCGAGACTTTCTCAGCGACCCCGAAGGTATGCGAACATTGGCCAGGCTCTCCTTACTTTCTGATGCCTCCGCCGGCCCTTCGGGATCCAGCCGCGTTCCGTACCCTCCACGGCCAACCGTTGCTCCCTTCTTGCTTTCGCAAAGGCCTACGGATGCCCGGGCTCGGATCGCGCACTTCTTCATACAATTACTCGATTCTGGCAGAGTTTTCTGTCTGAAGTCCTGACATACGTTCGCGGCATGGCTTACGTTTCACTGCCACATTGCAGGCCAAGAGTCGAAACGGCGACTTGTAGTAATCGCAGCGTAGGATCTAGGGAGGCACTGGCAGTCCGCGGGCACACGGCGGCGGTAGAGGTGAAGAAGAGATGAGTGGCTCAGCTTGCAGCATATTCTGACCTATTCAATCGCAACTAGATCTGAGGAGGTTTGAAGCGATCAAATTACGTGGAAGATTTTTTCAGCTAGCCGTGTTCGCAATATGTGAGGATGAATACCTGAACTCTGGCCATTTACCGATGGTAACTCGATGCAGGAGATGGCGGTCACGGTGACGCGCGGCGGTATCCCGGAGGCCCGGCGGGTGCTCGGGAGCGGGATCACCGACGTCACGATATCTCCATCAAACTGTCACACGTTCGTCACAGTGTGTCGCACATCCCAGGCTGCTCTCCAGGGGCTGTTCTCCAGCGACGCCCTCACCGACCGCCAGCACGTCGACGGTTTGCCCCTCGCCAGCCAGTTGTAACCTATTGTCTGTAGGATTGTACACTTTCTCTATCGAGCTTTCGTCTCCACATTCCCTTGTGTCTCGAGTTTGCTAGCGTCTCGCGTCCTTATTGCACGATCGTTTCAAGCAATCCCTTACGATGTGGTAAGCTTGCCATGATAGAAGCCTCATTTATCATACAGTCTAATGTTCGACCGTTGCGTAGGTGCGATAACTGTCTTCTGCTTTTCCCCCTGGTGTGTATAGCGTGCTGTGTCATTTGGTGGCGAAGAGCTGATTTCGGAAACGCAGCGCGTCGGCGCCATGATCTGGGCCTTTTTGATCGCGGTAAATGCCTCTCTCACCACGCAGGCTATGCATTCGTTACTATATCTTTGGATAGGCATACAGCATTGCCGGTGGTGTAGTCCTGTTCATGTTGGGCCCGTATCTGTTCTTCGTCTTCCCCGAGTGGTAAGTATTCAAATTGTTGCTGAATCCGACTTTGAATCTGAATTTTACACAGGGATATTTACGGTGGCATCTCCATGGTAGTGGGTGCTGTCGCTGTCATCTCCCTAATCGCTCTCGCCAACGTGAGTAAAACTCGTCGCAGTGCAGCCGTTCCGGTCCACTGACCGTCGGACCTACAGAGGTCCTACGTCTGGACGCGCATCGCCAAGATCTCGTGGCCATTCGTGATCATTATAAGCGCCATTCGGGCTGTCATTATGGTTGTCGAGCTGCAGCGTGGGTGCGTATTTTTTCCCTGTCGCTCCGTCTTACTGTCGTTTTCGTCCCTCAAATTCCCTCTTCGGCCTCGAGATCCCTCCGCATGATATGGTCTTACGACCTTGCACTACTATCAATCACGTAACACTCGTTTTTGTGCTTCTTTACTATATCCCGTGACCAAAGCAGCGTGGGATATTCCTTCGCATGCTCAAGCTCCAGCCGTACAGCCTCGATCGTATATGAAACTAACCGCTGGTATTTTTCGACAGGAGTACCAACATTGAGTGGGAGTGCGCCAATGGGGGTCAGCTCTGGACCGCTTCCGCTGAAGCGGGCTACGGAGGCTCTACCGCGTTCCCCAGTAGCTTCTGCACTGCCGGTTTTGCCAACATTGATGCGGCGTTCATCGTAGGTCTCCTCGTCGATCTAGTGTTCCAGGTGCGTCTCTCCATTATGCTTGGCATGGACACGCCGCCCCGCCGGAAGCATCCTGCCCCCCCAATGCAGCATCCACGTGCAACGATGGATAGCTAATATGTTGCACCGCTCCTGCCTTAACAGATCTACATGTTCTTTTTGGTCTGGCGATACCAGAAGAGGCTTGAACATTACCAGAACATGAAGGGTCCTTTCGGTGGAGGTACGTTCAACCTGTCCCCGTAATGCGCTGCGTCGCATCCGGTATCCCGAGCCGGCGCTCCGCTGATGCTCCCCTGTTACGGATTCACAAGGATGCACTAATAACGGTTTGCACGCAGGGTACTATGCCTAGAGCTTAGGAAGCATCCTCCGCACACGACCGCTCCATCCACGCGTTCTCTCTCGGACCCCGCGCATCTTTTCCTTCTGCCTCGGCTCACGTTTATTTCGCCTGCATCTGGCTTTCATAAAGGCCTGCACGAACTGTTACGAACTCTCACGACTTTCATGACCGTCGCGACTCTAATCCGCTTCATCTTAGTAGTGCACGCGATTCACTTATCGCTATCCTGTAACGACCTTTCATGACTTGGTGCTCCAATCTGAACATGATTGTGCCCTTTGTTTCACTCGGAGTGTTTGCGCGCCGCAGGAAATTTGCTTCACGGCGTTATACGTACATTGTTCTCTCCTCGGCTAAGCGAGAGCGCCACATGACGCGCAGTTACGAGAAGTGACCCTTAGGGTAAGCCAGCAGCACTGACGTCGGACATCGGACGGGGAAGACACAAAGAACTGAATTCACGTTCGCCGAGGTTGTTCTTTGCGCCACCGAAGGAGCGTAGAGCGGGCAGGGCCCTTCTATCTCACGCTTCCGCAGGGCAGGGCTGATCGGAGCAGGGTTGAAATGAGAGCGAAGGAGCAAAAAGGATAATTAATGACAGGAGTGAAGAGGTGAAAGGAAATAATATGAAAGTGTCAACAAAGACCGCAGGTCGGGCAGAGGGCGAAATGAAAACAACGTTGCGCGCGGAGTGGCATGGACCGTGTTCCTTGGAGAGCATGCGGCTCTACAGACCGAGTTGGGGAGCAGCAGGAGCAGTCGCCAAAGGCGCAGAGGGAGGCCGATCCAGGCTCAGAAAGGACTGGCACTACATTCCTGGCAGATGACCCGCAATCACTGGGCTGGTTGGCCCAGGATGGTATAGGGCAGAGCGGTCTGACGCCGTCAGGGCTGCGAACGACCCAGAACCCAGCGCTGGTACCGGAACTGCATTTGGACATGGCTAATCCCCTGCGCGCGAAAGACTGGGATCTGCTGTGCAGGGAGCGTCCTCTCGGGACTGACAGCCGGGCGTGCGAGCATATGTTCTATGATGGCGATTGCAGATAAGCTTGTGGGTAATACCTGATCATCGATGGGAGTACGTACGAGCTGGGGGGGGCAGAATACGTTTTAGCAGCCGTTCATCGACGCTTTGCGGGTGGAGGCTTAGTATTTGCGCGGGCAGTTGATGACTTTCCACGGCTCCGGGCTTTGTCAAGGGACGGGGGATCGCTTAGAGGACCGTCCGGAGGCTGTGGACCTGTGATAGGGAACCGCGTCGGCACGGAGGCCATTTCTGTACGGAAAGAATGGTTAGGCTTTCATTTCGCTGGGGCAATGTGCAGCATATCCGGGAGAAGTGGACTGGAGAAAATCCATGAGAACGGTGCAGATCCACCCGTATCGTGGAGGGCATCTAGGGCTGCTGGCGGTGGAGACTGTTGAACAAAGCGCAGTGGTTAATGTCGGCAAAACTGAGAGAGGGAGGGGGCATGCTCGGGTTTGGCGACGAAGGAGGGGAGGGTACCTGGAAGGCTGCAAGCTACCTGACGGACGGCGGTCATCATGTCGGTGTCTGGCGAGCGCTGTGCACCCGGGGGTCACAGGACACAGCGGTGAGAACGGAGGACGCCAGCTAGGCGCCGAGAAGCTATGCCGCCAGAGCGGGCGAGTGCCAAACCTTCTCTGCTGCCAACCGCTCGGGGCTGGTAAAGATGGAACAACTCCTCCGCTGCAAGCGCAGAGAAACTACGTAGCGCCCGTCGGATGTTTCTGGCGAGCGATAGCTTCGCGGAAGCAGTTTTCGAGTGTGACGAGCGCGGAGGGAGAGGACCCAGGGATCTGATGGATATTTGCCGGGGAGCTCGAGTCGCTTCGCTGGGACTCGAATGAGACTCCCAGACGCCGTGGCACTGGCAGAACGGGTTCGGAGCGTACACGAGGCACTCGGGACAGGGCCCAAACCTGGGACATACGGTCGCATATCAGCGCAGAAACCGCTCAAACGGACGTGGGAGGATACGGCATTAGGCAAACGATTAGTCCTCCGTCAGAGTTTGTTGATGCGGCCCAATTTCCCTTTCTCTAGACGCGTAATCTTACCGCAGCTGACAAGTATATAGTCCCGGAATTGTCCTAGCCAATCCCCCATCCCCCCTTCTCCTCCAGCCGTCCGCTTCCGCCCTTGTCCCCGGGCGAACATTTATTGTTCCATTGTGTTGCGCATCGTCGGAGACAACGCTCGTCTCGCTTGCGTACCATTTGTACGTTCCGCCCTCCCTAACAACGTTTTTCGGCTTGCTGACAATTTGCCTTGTCTCCATCTGCCTTAAATCCAACCAGGCATCCCGCCCTCACCATCGCTCCACGACCCACGACGCGTGAATATCTGTGATATCCGCCTCCCCACGCTTTAACGATTCTGTCCCCTGCAACCCTCACTTTTGCTACAATGGAGACCGCGCACATGCCCGAGCACATCCTCGACCACGCCAAGGCTCCGTCTTTCATGGACGCCCCAGCAGCCAACTACTTCGAGACCTTGTCAGGCATGGACACTTACCTGCAGTACCCGCATTCGCCCTTTGGTGTCTCTGACATGAGCCGTGAGTCGATGATCTGCACTGCATCATCAGCTGTGGATCTGACGATGACACAACCTACTCAGTGCCGCAGACGGGATCTCCCCGTCTTGGATACAACGCGCTCAACCTCACGAACGGCATGAGCGAGTACACCTATGGCCCAGGCCCTGCTTCCTTCGGTACCTCGCCCTCGCCAGGTCGTCCGTACACCCCGACGGGTTCCATCTACCCTGGCGCTCTGTCGAACCTGAGTGCAGGAGAACTTAGTTCAGACAGTGTCTCGTCCAACCGCAGCCGCCGTGGCTCCGGTGCCGTCTCCCCACCTCCCGTACCGGCTGGTTCCCTCGCCGCCGTCCCGCGCTCCCACCGCTTCAACCCACTTGCCGGCGTTCCCACGCGCAGCTCGGCTCGCCAGGCGAAGAAGCGGGGTTCCAAGGGCTCCGACGACTTCGATAGCGACAATGATGACGATTTCAACCCGACGTCGTCGGCCATGTCCAACGACATGCGCCGCGAGGAGATCCGTCGCCAGCGCATCGAGTCTGAGCAGCGTCGCCGTGACGAGCTCCGTGATGGCTACCGCAGGCTCAAGGACGCCCTCCCGGTGTCGAACCAGAAGTCAAGCAAGGTTTCCCTGCTCGATCGCGCCACCACGCACATCCGGTACCTCGAGATGACCCAGCAGCAACTGCAGACCAGGTTGCAACAAGCAGAGTCTGAGACCGCTCGCCTGCGGCAGTAAGTAATTGATGATCCTCGCACGATTTCACCAGCTAAAGATGCTTCTTAGTGTAAACGAGGCTCTGATGCTCGGCACTGTTGGCACTGCTGAGCAGCGCCATGCAGCCGCCGCCGCCGCCTCCGCCGCTCAACAAGCTGCTCCAGCCCCCTCATACTGATCGCTATCTTTGTGGGTCGGTTTTGGAAAAGCTCCCCGAGCATCTCAAAATCATGGACGCTTCACGCATTGGATTGATGACTATTCATGATGGTTTCCCTGCCGGCGCAGGTGGTGCATTTTCAATGGACAATATTATCCCGCAATATCCACTATTCCCCACCCATCCAATATCTCAGCATTTTTATTGTCATATTACACGCATTGGCCGCTTTCACCTCACCATGTTCTGCTATCTCGCTTTCTTCATGCCTTCCTCTTCTTTGAGGCGGCGCTCACAAGACCACTAGCCTTATGCATCGCGTCAGCGACGCACCGACATTCGTCACGTCCACGGTCTCCAATCAGCTCGCGGCCGAGCCGCGCAAGTCGAGGACCATGGCGACGAGTAGCTATGAAGATGACTACCGACATCGAGGACTGAGCCGGACTGTGGATGGACACCGACGCAAGACCACGAGGACATGCTTGAGGCGCAACATTTGCGCCTCGCTGCCTCGCGCGCACTTTCTTGCACTCACGTCAATATCGGCGTGATGTGTCCATTTCCGGTCAACGTCTCTTCCCCGACCTCCGTCTCGTCATCCAGCGCCCTGCAGCTGACGGCGAACGACCACTTAGATGTGGTTTCGTGCCTCGCTGCCCCCAGGACGCTCGCCGATACACAGGCGACATACTCTCTTCCGCCGGCCCTCGAAGCCTCTTGCCCGCCTTTGCGACGCCACTTTTGACGAAATCACGCACCCGACACCTCGGATGAAGGCTTCTTCGTGGATCCCCCTCCGTGAGCACCGCCTCGGTGCCTCATGTCTGCCACACGCGCCGCCGCGGCCTTCGGCGCCCGATCGCCGCCACAGGTCGCCTCCGCTATTCGTCTGGCATGACACGCGCACATCATTTCGATGAGTCCCGCAAGGCCCCCAGTCTCTTTCAAGCCTTGCGATGCTCGACCAGGCTAGCCATGTATAGCAAGCTCCCCCAGCCAGGGAAGACCGGCTTCGTCTCTGTTCGCCGACTCTCCACTTTCGACCCCGACTCGCCCTGCTGCCCTGTCTGCCCTCCTGACGACCCACCGGTGCCTCCTTCGCCACCACGCCCCGTCCTCGCTCTCGGCTCTCGTCTCGTGCCTCCATCCTCCGTGGCCCTGGCTGTGCGCGTGCTAGTTCACGCCTGCCGGTGCGTCTGCCGAGGTTCTGGAGTGCGAGTACCGGTCGAGTCCTGAGTGTGACGGTGTGCGTCGGCGGCGCAAGTCGTAGGCTATGGTGAGTGCCAGCCGGACTCGGACCTGCTTGCGGGTCCCTGTCTACTGCGCGCGGTACGTCTTCGAGGCGTAGACTGTGGCCGGCTAACTGAGTCTGCGGCTATCGATCGTGAGTCGAGTACCACGGCGCGACCCTGCAGTAGACGATGCCCTGGACCGTCATCATTTCCCTGCCCCTCCGCCCCCGACGCTGCTATCCCCTCGGTCGACTCGTCACATATTGTAACTCGCATACATCCACGCTCTGTAGCACATAGCACTATTGTTCCACTATTCTCATGACGCATGACATGCATCTAGTCTCACGGCTCGCTCTGGAGCTGCCCGCACATACTCACTATAACTACTACTACCTCGTGTCTAGACGTCTGGATTGTCCTTTCCTGTGGCCTTCGCCAGTAGACTGCATAGATAGGTGATTCGTGATGTTCTTCGGTAGTTGTTGACGACCCCCGCAATGACACATAGTATGTACTGGAATTGTCGACTTGTGATGACGTGGATTGTGTTTTGAGTGAGTACGCTTTGGAATCAACTTTGCGTGCGTAAATCCATCGACCCTCCCGAGGCCTGAGTTGCGAGAAACAGCACCTCAGGACGCACTGAGCTTACGATATCGATAATATCGAATATAAGCATGTGTTGGCGCAATGCAATTTGAGGAGTAGTCAACTTCCACCGACATGGAGCTCGATATTTTAGAACGCGCTGATCTGAAGACGACTTCAGCACTTCGACTTATACCGTCATCTCTTCACTCTCCATAATTTTCTTTAATCTTGCCAAGTATCTAACATGAGCGACATCGCAGCTGTCCAACGTCAGCTGAAGATCAAGACCGGTGTAGCCAAGAGGTGCATATCCCACGCGATGTGGCTCGGCCACGCCCTGATAGGATTGGATCTTGCATGCATATAGGCTGTTTAAAGAGCATAGATCGTACATCCTTGAAGAAGAGCAGCAGAAGATCAAGTTGGACAAGTTCATTGCCAACAATACGGAGGACTGGTATATCAAGAACGCAGTATGTACTTTGTCTCACCGCATCATGTTCCCCCTCCCCGTTAACCATCACCCCAGAGACGGATGCTCGAAGAATCGCACAAGATGGTCGATGACGCAGCGACAAGACTTGGCAATGCTGTACAGGACCTGAGGCAGCTGCTTGTACGTCTCGCCGTCCTTCTTGGGCGCGGAGGTTCTGACGCGCTCCATGTAGGTTGCAGCGGAGAAGGATCCATCTTTGGCCGAGAAGGAGGAAGTCTTGAAGGCGAAGGAGGTGCTGGGGGAAGTCAGCGTATGATGAATCTGGCTCACGAGTACGGGTACCTTCATCTTCCGAAAGACGACTCGGCCGCTTTGAAGCTTCAAGTATGCTAGACTCTCCACCATAATCAATCCGCCGGAGGACTGCTCTCGATTGAACCTGCACCCTCGCGTTCCCTGTCCCTCGTCTGCTTCAGCCGCATTAACGCGTCCAGAATCCCTGCCCATGCGTCACGCTCCACTCGTTCTTCTTGCAGCCCGCGACCGCCTTCCTCAACTGATGCTCCCGTCGCTGTTGGTAAGCCTACACCAAGGGACGGCGGCACGAAACCCGGAGATGGCGCGTTAATTGCTGAGGGAGCTATACGGGACTGTCTGATGTGTGCCAGCGCCGACCGAATGTTTATGTGGATGCCCTATACCGCTTGATGAGGACGATATGTGTGATGAGAGGAGGAGTACGTACATCCAGCCGGTCGAAGTACTCGCTCACTTCCAGGACGAACTGTTCTGAACGCTCTCCTCCTTGCGGTAAGCCATCTTCAGGACCGTCGGTTTGTGGCAACGTGAGAAGAGATATTGAAGAAGCAGCTAGCTGTAATAGTCGACTAATATCCTAAGTCAATCTTGAGCACTATTGCGCCGGGTCTGTTCGTGGAATGATTACCTTTTCGACCTCTCCAAGGGCATATATTTGTCTCGCTGTGCGGCTTGAAGTCCAGATGGGGTCTACGTTAGGCTCCGTGATATTCTGCGCAGTATTATTCGTCGTCTGGCCGGACATGATAGAGAAATGAAGCCAGCCGTAACGTGGTTGGATGCAAGCACCGTGTAGCGTGACGCGTTACAAACGCTTCGACGCGCCCTGATGCGCCCTCATCACGGCTTCTCGAGCTCAAGCCATCCTTTCCACCGTCCCACTCTACAGGCCAGCGCCTCCAGCGTTCCATTACAAGAAAAGATATCTTACGCGTTACATGAGACCCGAGGAAATTATGGCATCCCCGGCTGCTCAGGAGGAACAGCTGCTCGAGTTACTGTTACAGCTTAAAGTACGTGCTCTTCAACTCATTTCCTACAACCTACCATCTCAACCTACTCAGAAAACGACACCAGACCAGGCTCGAGCTATATTGAATGCTCAACCGCAGATTGCTTATGCTCTTATGGCACTCATGGTTAACCTCAATGCCATTAACATGGAGGTGACCCAGGTGCGTGCTATTTCGTGTCATCGTGAAATCCTGTCGACTCATGACACGACAGAAAACTCTTGCTGCTTTTGGTGCGGGGAGTGCTCCAGCGGCCACTCCAGGACCAGTCTCAGTGCCTACACCAGGCCCAGCTTATGCACCTTCTGTCCCGCCACCAGCACCTCACATACCTGTCCAACCTATACCCGCCATTCCTCCATATTTGAACAACCAACACAACTCAGGAGGAAATACCCCGCCATATGCACGTGGAGGTACTCCCACGTACCCGCAAAGCAATATCCCGCTGGCATATCCGTCGCGCGGAGGAACACCGAACTACCCGCCGCCAGGCCCAAGTTACCCTGTACACCAGCAACAGCACCCTGGCCCAGGCTATCCGCCTCAGAACATGCCGCCGCACATGCGTGCACCGTATGGAGGTCCCCCGCCCCCCCAAATCGGTGGTTACGGCGGACCTCCACCTCACAATGCGCCGCCTCCGCAAGCGGCTTCTGCGCTTCCTGAGGCACTTCAGAATATTCCTGAGGACCAGAAGGTAAATTTATGACAGTTAGAGATGTGTTATCGTCTAATCAGACCTGTAGGCTCTCATTATGCGCGTTATTCAGATGACGCCAGACCAAATCGCACAGCTGCCGCCTCACGAACAAACAACAATGATACAATTGGTGCGTACTTTGTCGTACACCTTTGACGAGATATTGAAATTTTTGTGCGCGTGTAGAGGCAGACATTGGGTCTACCCGCGTAGCCGGCGAGTACCTACGGCTTTGGCTATTTGTCTGTTGTTTGAAAGCCTTACACCCTGCAGTACTGGACTCTGCTTTATTTCACCTATTATATTACTGTCTCTCCGCGAACGGATCACCTGTAAAACGGCCTGATACGCGTAAAATGTATGAATGTCGCGATCGTTTGCGAGCGGCCGTAACCGCCCATGCCACGTGGTCGTACTGCAGCTGCGACCACTTACCACTAAGTTAGCCTACTGACTACTGAGTCTCTTCCTTCTTCCCCGACGCTTTCCTCTGAGCCTATCCAAAATGGCGTCAGCAGACCCACTATGCTATACGGTCATTACGGAGGACAGCACCGAGTCCCCCACGACCCAGGAACTGCGATCGGCGCTGCAAAAGGGCTCGGACGAAGTCAAGCTTGACACGTTGCGAAAGATTATAATCTCAACTATCAATGGGAATCCCCAGGTGCGCAGGAAAGCAGGCTGGAGCATTTAAGAATGACTCAATGTGAATTTGCTTGCAGCCTCAACTGCTCATGCCAATCATCCAATATATCATGCCCTCGAAGAACAAGCAGCTGAAGAAGCTGTTACACTTCTACTGGGAGGTCTGCCCGAAATATGACGATAATGGCAAGCTGAAGCAAGAGATGATTCTCGTAGTGTGAGTCGTGTGTCTTATGGTACTCGTAGACTGTGTTGACGTGAAGTGTATAGTAACGCCATCCGTAACGACCTCGTAAGTACCGAAAGCGAAGAGGTAATCAGCCCGTGTCTGATGCTGTCTTCTCACAGCAACATGCCAACGAATACATCCGCGGAGCAACCCTCCGGTTCCTCCAGAAGCTTGCTAAGGACGTCGAGATTCTCGAACCCCTCGTCCCTCTCTGTCGCTCTTGTCTCGAACACCGTCACTCCTACGTGCGCAAGAACGCCGTCTTTGCTATATACTCCATCTACCGCGAATTCGAGCACCTCATTCCCGATGCGCCAGAGCTCATCCAGACGTTCCTCGCCGCCGAGTCCGACGCGACGTGCAAGCGAAATGCGTTCGTATTCCTCGCGAACTACGCCATGCCAAAAGCCGTGGATTACATTTTGCAGGTCTTCGACCAGATTTCGGGCATGGATGAGATGCTGCAGATGAGCATCATTGAGGTCATTCGCTTGGACTGCAAGACAGACACCTCGCATAGAGTACGTGGACATGTTCAACGTACATGCGCGAGAGCTAATCGATGTCGTTGTCTAGGCTCGCTACATTCTTCTCATCTCCGAGCTGTTGAACGCGTCTTCGCATGCTGTCAAGTATGAAGCTGCTACAACTCTTACCAGCCTGACGCAGAACCCTGCTGCTGTGAAGGGTAAGTATCTGCCTGAACCTGTCAAACCTGCTTCCCTGACAGTTCCCATAGCTGCTGCGTCGTGCTATATCAACCTGGTTACGAGGGAATCTGACAACAACGCGAAACTGATTGTCCTTGACCGTCTGGACACCCTCCGCGCGCGCCATGGGCACGTCCTTGATAGCCTGATAATGGATATCCTTCAAATTCTGTCCAGGTGTGTCTAAAATGCACACATATGCGTTGTTCAAAACTCACAGCAGCAAAGTACCGATCTGGAAGTCCGTCGGAAGGCCATTGGCATTGTCCTGAATCTGATTTCGAGCCGAAATGTCGAGGAAGTCGTGCTCTTCCTCAAGAAGCAACTTCAACGGACACAGGAGCAGGAGTTTGAGAAGGCTCCCGAGTACAGGCAACTACTCATTCAGTCGATTCACGTATGCGCCGTGAGGTTCTCCGAAGTCGCTGCGACTGTGGTGCACGCTCTCATGGACTTCCTCGGCGACAACAACAATCCCTCTGCTCTGGATGTCGTCGCTTTCGTTCGGTAATTCGCCCCCTCTCCAACGTCCTCTTTCGCCTAACACTATTTCTAGCGAGGTCGTCGAGAAGTTCCCTCAGCTCCGGTCGACTATCTGCGAGAAACTCATCCAGGCCCTGAGTGAGATCAAACCGGGCAAAGTTTATCGTGGCGTGCTCTGGATCCTCGGCGAATATGCCGAGTCAAGCATCCAGATCCAGCAGACATTTCAGGAGCTGCGCAAGGTTCTTGGCGAGATCCCCATCCTAGCTTCGGAGCAGAAGTTACTTGATGAAGCGGGCGCCGAAGACGAAGAGAAAAGTGAGGTGAAGACGGAGAGCACGAAGCCTAAAGTGCTCGCGGACGGGACGTACGCGACAGAGACAGCATTCACGAGCGCGTCGAGCGTACGGCTTGAGGCGGTCAAGGCTGCTGCAAAGCCACCGCTGCGCACGCTTATCCTCGGCGGAGACTTTTTCACGGGCTCGGTACTTTCCTCTGCGCTCACGAAGCTCGTTCTCAGGCATACCGAGCTCGGCGACGATAAGAAGGCCACGAATACTCTCCGGGCAGAGGTACGTTCTTCATCTGGCGAGAACGAATATTGTAATGACAGAGAGCTGTCAGGCAATGCTCATCATGGCTTCGGTCATTCGCGTTGGCCAATCCAAGTTCGTGACCGTTCCTATCGATGAAGACTCGAGCGAACGGATCATGAACTGCATCGGAACGCTGAGCGAGCTGCAAGAAAAGCCAGTCGTGCACGAGCTGTTCTTGAAGGACACGAAGACGGCGTACTCAAAGATGCTAAGCGCCCAGGAGAAGAAGGCGGCGGAGAAGAAGGAGCAGGAGAGCGCCAAGCCTGCGGCGATCCAGGTGGACGACCTGCTAACGTTCCGCCAGTTCTCGAAGAAGGTGGCAGATGATATCATCGACGACCGCGAGGACCTTGTCCGTGCGACCGGCACCGGAGATGCGAATGAGGACTTCATTTCGAACCTGAGCCGCATCTCTCAGCTCACTGGTTTCTCTGATTCTATCTACGCTGAGGCGTACGTCAAGGTTCACGGCTTTGATATTCTTCTTGGTAAGTTTCTTGCGCACTATTGCTGTCGATGACTGACCAGTGCTCTTCCCAGACGTCCTGCTGGTCAATCAGACAGCTGATACGCTGCAGAACCTTTGCCTTGATTTTGCTACGCTGGGCGACCTGAAGCTCGTCGAGCGGCCGTCGACGTACACTATCGCGCCCCACAGCTTCCAGAGCATTAAAGCGACCATCAAGGTCTCTTCGACCGAGACTGGTGTGATCTTCGGCAGCATACTATGGGAGGGCCCTGGCATGTCCGAGCAGTGTGTTATCCTGAACGATATTCATATCGATATCATGGATTATATTAAGCCAGCTTACTGCACAGAGGCTCAGGTGCGTCAGAGCCACCGCTGGTCCTTGACTAAGGCTAATTGGTACTTCTTGACAGTTCCGTAGCATGTGGACCGAATTCGAGTGGGAGAACCGTGTGAACGTCTCGACGGCCATGTCGTGCGCACCTTATTTCCGCCGTCGTGGACGTGCTTGCTGATTACTGGTGACAGCGACCCACGTGACTACTTGAAGCATGTCATGAAGGCAACGAACATGTCATGCCTCACCCCCGAAGGCGCGATATCTGGCGAGTGTGACTTCTTGTCGGCAAATATGTACGCCCGCAGTCTGTTTGGTGAGTTCATGCGACATGTACCCTGTAAGGCCCGGTCTGACTGCTGCCCAGGTGAGGATGCACTAGCCAACTTGAGCGTGGAGCAGACGGAGCAAGGCACAATCACTGGCCATGTGCGAATCCGTAGCAAAACGCAGGGCATCGCGCTGTCCCTTGGGGACCGGATAACAATGGGTATGTGCGGTCCATTGGCGCTCGCGTGATCTGCTGTACAGCAGCTGATGCTGTGTCCGCTTGCAGCACAAAAGGATAACAAGCCGCCTGTGTAGACGCCAATTTGACTACAATTATGTTTATTGCACCTTTTTTCTTCTCTTCACGTTTTGAGTAGGCTCGTCTCACACCGATTTCTTGCACGTCGCATCCCTGGCCTGGTGGGTGCAATTAAGATGCACATTGGGACGCACGTTGGTCCCCACGGAGCGCAAGCGACCGGACACGGCTGACGGGCCTACGTTCGAACGTCTTACCCGAGGAACGTTTATGCTGCAAGTGACGGCCCAAACTCGCACATGAGACACAGCGGCCATCTTAGACCATCCAGGCTGTCTCAGCCCACACGAAAAGGGCGAAAGAACCGTGCGGTCCGCCAGTAGTAATCGATCAGGCTGTGTCACCAACATGCACTATTCGCCAAAGGCGCGGACATTTTACAGCGGAAAAAAGTGAATATCATCTCGGAGCCAAGTGCTGTGGTCAGCTCGAACAGATTCCAGCAGGGAAATTGGTGCCCAAAGATACTGCGAAAGCGTGATGCGCTTGAGCGGCTGCAGCTGCGGCGCTGGTGGCGTTGATCCGCAGGTGAGCGGCGGTCGAGTTGCATCGAGTTGCGCGAGGAACTTCATGTGACGTCGAACCAACCGGTCTCCGACGCGTCAGGAATGGCTCGGCGGTGCATTCGGCTCGTGTAAATGTGATCTAGACCTGGTTCAATTTCTGCTATAAATTGAGCCCGATGGCTGCAGCATCGTTTGCTCACGCCGCCCACTCCTCTGCACCATGTCTAACAGCAACGAGGACAAGGAGAAGGGCATCGTCCACTATGTCGTTGCCGACCTTACTTCTCTCGACCTCTCTTCTCCCGATGACTCGATCATCGCTAGCCGCTTCTCGCGATATGGCACGCTTGGGCCTATCATGCAGAAGCTCTTCGCTAGTGGTGTTGAGGCGAGAGGTGTCGAAAGGATCCCCGAACGAGAGAGGGAGAGCAAGAAAGTATGGAACAAGTACGTGTTAATCATCGACAGCGAGTCCGCATTGTCGCTAAACCGTGCTGTTTAGCCTCTTGTTTTGGTGGTGAGTTCACATATCGCGTGGCTTGTGTCTTGGGTCATCGTTGTTGATATGAAGGCGATAGGTCAGCTAATTGTGCGTTGACGACCATTCCAGTCGGAGTCTTAGCCCAGGAGTTCTACACCCTCACTTTCCCGTATGTGCCCTCCGCCCGTGCTGCTTTTCTTCTTCTCCTAATCAGCGCCCAGGCATGCTGTTGCGGTTATCCTTTGCTTTGGTGCTCTTGGTGCTATTTTCACGTCGTTCATCGCCACACTTGGTCCCAAGACCGGCCTGCGGACAATGGTCATTACTCGGTATAGCTCAGGCTACGTCGGCGGTTCCATCTATTCCGTCTTGAATATCTTGACGCAGTAAGTGTCTATGGAGTCATGCTTATGGCGTGACGTACTGAAAACTTGTCCTAGACTTGGCTTCTCGGTCACGGCAGTAATTCTTGGCGGTCAGACATTGGCGTCAATTAACCCAGGAACACTTCCCCTTGTAGCCGGCGTCATCATTATCAGCATCTGCAGTGTGGTCCCCTGCTTTGTCGGTTATAACCTCGTGCACTTTTACGAGCGCTACGCTTGGGTGGTTATATTCATCGTCATGCTCTTCCTGTGGGGTCTTGGTGGGCACGCCGGCTTCGACATTAGTGCTCAGAAGGCAAACGAGGACACCGGCAGAAATCTGTCCGCGGATGTTTTAAGCTTTGGAGGAATTATCTTTGGAACTTTCACCGGTGTACGTCTACCATTCCGTGTTTTTATCGCCACAGGCTGAGTTTGGCATGACGCTCTCCAGTGGGCACCAGTTGCAGCCGATTTCAATTGCAGGCTGCCAGCCGATACATCCAGTGTCCGCGTTTTCACCCTCACGTTCTTAGGGGTGTTCATTCCGACCACATTCGTTGAGATCCTCGGTGCCGCCTTGATGACAATCACTGATCCGGCATACGTCGATGCGTTTGCAAACGGTAGCACTGGTGGCCTACTGAGCCAGGTACTCTCCCCATGGAAAGGCGGGGGCAAGTTTATTCTTGTCCTGCTCGCGATGTCAATTGTGTACGTGTTTCGTTTAAGCGACATCACCTTCATTGTACTGATAGGCATCTTTATGCAGTGCAAACAACATCCCGGGCACTTATTCCGCCGCCCTGTCGATGCAGGCCCTTGGCCGCCCTTTTACCGTCGTCCCACGTTTCTTCTGGGTGCTCCTTGCCTTCGTCGTCTACACTATCGCCGGCGTCGCCGGTCGTGAGCACTTCTCAGAGATCCTGTCCAACTTCTTGAGTATCCTCAGTTATTGGACGGCGTTCTTCGTGGTCATCGTTGCCGAAGAGCATTTCATTTTCCGTCGTCCCAATGGGCCGCTTGGAGGGTACAACCTCGACGATTGGGACAAACCGAGGCGGTAAGTGTCGCCTGCAACGCTCCGACGCCGCTCGTATGCTGACGGTATATTAGTCTTCCCCTTGGTGTAGCCGGTATTGTTGCGGGCTGTTGCGGTGTTGCTGGCGCCGTCGTCGGTATGACCGAAGTCTGGTACACCGGACCGATAGGCAAAGCCGCCGGCGGTTTGTTTGGTGCCGACCTCGGCTTCGAGCTCGCTGCTGGCTTCGCGGCCGTTTCATACGCACCATTACGCTGGCTCGAAATCAGGCTCGTGGGACGATAGTAGGGAGGGTTTTTCGGGATAACAAGAGACCGCTACGCGATTAATGTTCTCTCAGGAGCTGTTTTCGTAGCGGCTAATCTCGTGGTGGCCGTTCTCGAGGCTGGTGTCTTCGTGGCTCACTTGGTTGCAATTGCAGCTTTCTCACGGAAAGCCCTAGAATATTTATATTTGTTCATTTATACATCACGATGTCGTTGTTCATTTTCGTGGCCAACCCAGGGCAACCTTCTGGTCCTTGGGTGCAGGCAGCTGGCGCGATTCACACCGAAATGATTGGAGCATGAGTCGGCGGGGCAAGCAGAAGCAACAGCTAAGTACTACTGGACATGCGGTGGTGGGTGTATAAAGGGCAGGGTTGAGAATAGGACATGTAAGGGGGTAGCATATAGTAAGTAACCAGTTGCTTCATGTGGTTAAAGACACGAGAGATACGTCAAGTAAGCTTTCTTTGTATCATTTCATGTATCAAACAATCAGATAATTCCTTACTCGTAGGGTTTCCGAGGTGTGCCACGGATAGATGAACTTGGATATATATATGGAATTTGGTAGACCCCGTCATAGGGACATGAGCTGGACCAGGCCTCGAGGCCCACTTGGCCCGTTGGCTCTGACGTGATATATGCATCTCGTAGCAACTGGTATCTGTTATACATTCCGTCTGCGGTCGCAAATAGAGGACTTATTACCGCTTCTTAAGCGCAGCAAAACGCTTGGCTAGTGTATCAAAGTCGTCTTCGGGTGGTTCGGCCTTTGGGTGTTCCTTCTTACCCTCGTCCTCTGTTGGTGGGAGCTCCGGCAGCTTCGGTGTCCTCGCACCGTTGCTCCTTGCCTCAGCCGATATCGTCTCAGCACTGGGTAACGGGGTATCTAGGACGTTGTCGATCTTCTCCTGAGCGTGTCGAACAGATCTCCGCAGTCAGCGGGATGATGCACCGGATATTGCGTGGCGACTGACCTTGGTGCCGCCTTCGCCATTGTCTCCTCCGGCGTCAATCTGAGAGTTTGGAGGCGTCCAGGCGATGTTGTACCCCTTCGCGATCTCGCTGAGGTAGGCGTCGACGAGTTGCTGCGAGGGCGTCAAAGTGGCGAGTTTCTTGGCGACCTAGACCGCGAGGAGATGGGTATTGGGTAGAAAGCGACGATAGGCGGGGAAAAGGCTCACACGCTCGCTCACACAGCCGTCCTTGTTCTCCATGACGGCGATAGAGAAGTCGCGACCGTACTTGTGCATTAGGATATCGCGAAGGACGTGGAGCTCTGCGATGATATCGAATTAGTTTGTGACTTGCTTGTACAGGGAGATGCGCTCTGCACCTTTCAACTCTGTCCGTGGTGCTGCGTATATAATCGCACACACACCCTCGCTGACACCGGGATCTGGTTCTCGGGTGCTATGGGGAACGGTGTTACGTCGAGTAGTCAGGGAGCAGCTATGCAGACCTACGGTTGGTCGATGAGCCCGAAGCGTGCTAACAGAAGCTCGCAATAAAGCTCGAGCAGCTCGAGTAACTCCACGTAGATATCTTCGTTGATGACTGCGAGTGCGACGGAGTGGTGAATACAAGACTTGCTCATTACAACCGCAAGGAAGACAGCCTTACTGTTCTCAACTTTGATTCGCGCCGTCTCGAGCTTACCCTTCTCAATGAGCATGGCAATATCTCGCCTCGAGGCCTTGGCCTGGGCTGCCTTCTTCTCTTGAAGTGTGCGCAACCGCTGCACACCCAGCCTGAATGATACAGGAGATTAGCCCTAGCTGACACTATCACCCTCCTTATAATGCAAATTTCTTACCTCAGCTGTACCTAAACGAGATAATATGCGTAAGACGGCGATGTTCGAGTAAACCTTATGGGTGTCATTGGATACCTTTGCCTTTGCAGAGTTCCAGGGCACCATCCTGCACTTATGATGTCCGCATTAGCGTATATACCGTCTTAAGGATATGATTGCTGCACTTACGTGCACTCAACCTTGTGAAATGTTCTGTAAAAATCGATATTCCAGAGTTCGACGTGAGCAGCAACGCGGCCCCAGCTGCGCCGCCGCGTCGGTGGAAGCGGTGCGGACCCGGATCTTGATTGCGCGTCTCCCGGGTGCAGCCACGTATTAGGAATGCCTGTAGGATCATGACGACTAGTCGTCGGATCCCACTCTCAGGCGTGGAAGCGTTCAAACGTTCAGCCTTACTAGAGGCGTTACCAGCCAAAAAGGAGTATTCACTATGGCATAAAAATGCGCCTTGTTGCAGCTCGACGTATATCAGCACGAGCTGCTCCGGGCTGAGAGACACCATATAACCGACAATATACTCAGCCAGATGCACAGATGACACCCTCCGATGTGAACCGTGACTCTCCCACACAGTCCCACACGAATGCCGCTGAGATGATCGTGACGGATTCACTGTACCAAAGGCGATCTACAGTGCCAGGCGCTCCTGACGGTTATGTGTGATGCTTCGCTTGTTGAGAACGCATCGTCCTGCGTCCTCAGTTCAGACTATCAAAAAGGCTAGGCAGGACATAGTAACAAAATGGCTTCCAAAAGATTCTTGTAGGCTCAGTAGACACTCCCGGCTCACTCGGTTGAAAGCGGCAGCGTGGTCCAGATCCGCTTACCACGCTGATGTTCTGCAGCTATGCCGTAAGTACATTGCGCCCTTGTTGATACGAATATGCGCTCAGCCCGTTGCCTACTGACCACAATCTATCAGGAATAGTTGACAGTGTCTCAGATCTTGCCAGTTCTCCGGCGCTCGATGCCCATTTGCCTCAATATGTACGGTGTACTTCGTCTCTTTCACTTGTCCTTGTCTTCGAAAGTCGACGGAAATCTGTCTCAGCCCACCTCTGTTAGATGGGAACAGAGCGAGGACAGTGAGAGATCTATGAGTCTGGCAATTGATTGACTCCGGATGATGTAGATGGCGGAACGCTTGCGCTCGCAGCCTGCGGCGACTTGCTCTTGTTTACTTATCATCATCGTCCCAAATATCAGAGTCCATCTGGTGCCTTGGCAGTTATAGGCAACAGCTTTCTCAAGTCTCCATTCCTCTCCATTTAACATGGTCTGGTCCGGAAGCATGTCCCATCCCAACCTCTGCTGTGCAAGGTTTCGACTCCTGCTCCCCTTGACGGCTCTCCCGTCAGATTATCTGCCCCGCCGAGCTACAATCTACCGCTAGCCCCCCGCAGAACAATGCATACTCTGACACTATCCAGGCCCAAGGTTCTCCCGAAGCTTGTGATTGACCCCTCCATGGATTACCGTAGTTCGTCGTCGTCTGGCTGCAGCTACAGCAGCCCCAGCAACAAATCATCCTCTATGGTCAGCTATGCAAGCAACGAAGACATTTTGGTCCGCGCAATTTATGACTTTGACAGCTCGGAGTCGGAACAGCTTTCGCTCCGGTGTGGGGAGGTGCTGGAAGTGATATACATGGACAACTCCGTGAGTTTGACATGTCCTGGCATTCGCATTGACTGATAGACAGTCGATGATAGGGATGGTGCGCTGCACACAGAGAAGACGATAAATCTGTGGGCTGGATTCCAACATCTTATGTCGAGCCTTTGTCGCAAACGAGTCTTGAGGACCCTGATGGATATCGTGACATATGGTCGGCGACTGTTACGGACACTTGCTGCGTTCTCCATTCCGGGCTCTTATCCCATTATCACAATCAGCTTTCCGCCCTGTCACCCGACAGCCTCGATAGCCCCGGCCGCACCGGAACGCGCAGCAAGGCAATATCCCTGGGAGCGCAAGTGACACCAGAGCCCGAGCCTAATACAACGCAACAATCCTTTCTCTTCTCTGCCCATCCTGCGGTGGATCATACATTGTGCAACATCCCCGCTTCTGTGCAATCTCCACTAATGAGCGAGGACCAATCTCCCGCGCAAGAGATCATATGGAACCCCAATGAGCTGCTCAAACTGTGCCCTTCGTCTCCTTCTGCGCCGCCACCACCCCCACCTACGCCTGGGGCAGTTCTCATAGGAGAAGCCTCGACACACCTTGAGGCTGTGGGACCTGGCTCTATCAGCGCTGAAGAGGCGTGCCCGCTGTCTTCCGACGCCTACTCTGTGTGCCACCCACGATGCGCGCACCGGCGCCTCGTGCGCATGGAGGATGGGCTGTATTTCAGGCCTCTCTCCGTACTGCTAGAGACACAAAGCATCTATAGCGAGCCGGAGGATGGGACCCAAGACGACGAGCTCGATTCGCCGGATGAGCATCCGTCCTTCGGCTCTTCGTCGCGGAGAGCGGACAAGATCAAGCAAATCACAGGGGACGAGATCGCACAGGCTGTACACGCCGCAAAGATAGCTCATGTGTTGCTACCGCGGTATCTGCGCCCCACTCATGGACAAGAGCTAAGGTTAGACCACGACGGCTCAGTCATTGCCGGTACGCTTCGCGCCCTGGTGGAAAACCTTGCTTCGGAACCATTTCGTAAGTGCGAGGACCTGAGCCGTTCCTGTCATGCGGCCCTGACCCTTTCGCTAGATCCTTCCATCGAACGACACTTTCGACATGCCTTCTTCTCCACGTTGCGCACCATGGGTACTCCTGACGAGCTGTTTGATCAGCTGCTTGACCAGTACCACCAGGAGCAGCCAGATAGCCTCACTGGCGTGGAAGCCGATGATTGGCGAATAAAGCGTCTCTTCCCCGCTCAGCGACGCGTGCTTTCCGTGTTCGAGACATGGCTCGTGCACCACCGGATGGTTGAAGATGACCCGCCCGTCGCTCAACGCCTTCAGACTTGGCTGAACAGTCTAGTCGAAGCTAGTGAAAATATCGCACTGGCTAGCGAACTGTTGAAGACCTTGGAGCGCCTAGTAGGTTTTATCACGATTTAAGTAGTCCAGTCCTTTGCTCACGACTGCTGGAGACATTCGCAGTGCCTTCCAGACCTTCGCCGGCCAGTAAGCACTCGAAGAGGAGAAAGACCCGGGACTCGAAGCATGAACTTCTGAGGGTGGACCCGTCGTTGCTTGCAGAGAACCTCTGCCTGTACGAGAGCAGGCTCTTTTCGAAGGTCGCGCCACGTGAATTTTTGGAATGGATCAATACGCGGCTTGGAGACCCTGTCGCTAATCTCCTCACATTCTGCAACATGCACGACAAACTGGGAGCGTGGGTCAAGCACAGCATATTGTTGACCAACAACTTAGCCCACAGGGCCGATGTCGTCGATCTTTGGGTCAAGGTTGCGGAGGTAGGTCGCCCTGCATTCTCATAGACTGCTTTGGTTAATGTCCGTATTCTCTTAGAGGTGTCGAGAAATGCACAACTTCTCTTCAATGAGTGCCATCGTCACAGCTTTGTCGAGCACTGTGATATCGAGACTGTATTTGACCTGGGCTCATGCCAAGCGGTCAGCGCATCTTGAGGCGCTGGCCAAGCTCAACGAGCCCACAGGAAACTTTCAAGCCTTTCGACAGATCCAGCGGCCTCAGGACGGACCATGTATCCCGTTCATAGGCCCATATCTGACCGACATCGTTCACATGCACGAGCAGTATCGCGACAGCATGGTCACGACGGCCGACGGCTCGGAACGGCTGTTCAACTTTGTCAAGCGGCGTAAGTGGACCAACGTGCTTGACGCGATATTCTGCCACCGGGGCAAGCCGTACATGTTCGAGGAAGACCCTTCGGTCATGCATCAAATCGAGACGAACCTCGTCTTGGCGTCGGGCATCGACCAGATGACCTTCTGGGAGAAGAGCGAGGAGGTGCAGCGCGCGGAGCGGGCGAGCGCAGACTTGCGCAAGGGGCTGGAGGCAGCTGGATTCTGACTCCCACCGGTGCTCAAGATATATATCACATGCAGTGTCCAGAAATGTACGATCGTAGCGTGTCCAGAAATGTTGTAAGGAATGGGATGTAAGCTTCGATCCGAGAATGGGACTGCGTCAAGTGAAATCTACTGCGCATAGAAGATATAGAATACAATGAGAAGACCGCATGGGCATTAGAAGAAGAGTGCCAGAGGAGAGAGGGGCAAAGGGAAATCAGCAGCTGCACGGCTCATTCTGACCGCCGGTGGCGGTCGCCTGCTTGTTGAGGTCAACACCAGTACGAGCAGCACCCGTTCGCGCACCACCAGCTCGAGCCGATGGAGGTGCTGTCTTTGGGAGCTTCTTGGCTGTTGGGAAGGGACGACTGAGCAAAACGAGCTGGGGCATGAGAGCGCGGTGGACGCACCAATCTCGGTGAATATCTCATTAACACCCTCTCCGGACTTGGCACTAGTCTCGCCCCACATGAGGCCCTCCTCCTCAGCGTATTTCTTGGCTTCTTCTTGCGAGACCTGCCGCCGTACCGCGAGATCGGACTTGTTGCCGCAGAGCGCAATGATGATCGAGGGGTCGGCCTGGCGTTGCAGTTCTCGTATCCATGACCGCGCCTTCTCCAGCGACGCAGATTGGGTGATGTCGTACACTACGACTGCGCAGTTGGCATTACGGTAGTACATTGGTGCCTTCGGAAATAATCAGTTGACGGAAATTGGCTGGGGGGTGTCGCAAAACGTACCAAGGACTAGATGACGTGCCGTTCGGTCAATTTCGGTATCGAGGAGGTATGGGTGGAAAGTGTACATACCTTGTAACGTTCCTGGCCGGCAGTATCCCTGATAGTCGTGAAGCTTATTTGTATCGATAACACACGCATAGACGCACCATATCTCAAACTTAACACTGGTACCGTCTTCGAGAGCAACCGTCTGCGTTAAGAACGCCGCTGCAGGTGTACAATCAGCTGTCTCGTAAACTCGAAGTCAAAGCCTATGCTGACCTCCGATAGTACTCTCCCGGTAGTCATCGAACTGGTCCTTGACGAATCGCAAGACGAGACTTGGGAACAGTACCTTCAGTACTCCGTGATGATGATAGCGGAGCCTGCGTACCTTGACTTTCCGACCGCAGATTCGCCTGTGTTGAAATCTTCAGAATACCGTGCAGATACACACATGCGTGAAGGACTGACCAAGGAGGACGAGCTTGAACTGAAATTGTTTCGACATGAGTGCAAGAGTAAGTTAGGATGAGACTCGGTGCTGGAGCTCCTGCGCAGTGCCAGGCTGTGATGCACCGTGGGTAAGCGCCTGTTCGGGCGTCATTGGCGGTGCCACGTGGAATGCGCGCTCATAACCCCAAGCCGGTCGGAGACGAAAATTGATTGCTGCCTTCTGCTCACAACCACCACTGGTTTCGTCCGTCTGGCCCTGCTGTTGTTGTCGCCTGCGGCATAAGTTGAGCTGGCTCTCGTCGAAATTTTGTCCCTCCGCCCGACGACCCATCGCTTCGAGTTACTTGTTATCGCTCCCCGTCCCGACACGTCACTTTGAGCCCATCAGTTTCAGCCATCGTCTGTCGAGACCGACGCAAGGGAGGTGCTAGGAAGTCCACAAAAGTGAAAAGCTATGAACAGACATCATCCCTACGGGGGCTACGACGGCGCCAGAAGAGGCGGGCCACCAGGTGGTTTTAGCCCTAACCGCCCCCACCGGTTTTCTGACAGGGGCGGACCCTCACGAGGGAGAGGGGGCTTCCGTGGTGGCCGCGGCGGAGGGGGAGGTTCATACGGAGGCTATGGAGGCGGAGTCGCTACCTACGATCAAGGACCCCCCCAAGGCGACATGGGAGGGTACACTAGCTACGAGTCAGGGCCCACGCAAGACCCCTACTATCAGAATGGCATTTACAACATGGGGATACCTGAGCAGCAGCAGCAACAACAGCAGGGACCTCCAGATACTTCGAACTATTACAGTCAAGGATTCGAGGGCTACGAAGGTGCGCTGAAAGTCATGTCGAAGTTTATAAGCCCATTGCGCAGAGCCGTGCTTCCCGAGGCCCAACCCTAAGGGATCTGTCCCTTCCGCTGTGAATCAACTCATGCACCTTAGAGAGTCTCTCGGTCTGAGTCGAACGGTGTGGGATGTCTCAGGATCATGCAACCTCGGCCGTGAATCCGACGGGCGTGCTCAGGACGTCCTCGTGGCGTATGGATGCGTCGTGGCAGGCTTTCTCGTTACGTGATCCGTTATTTTGGCCTTCTGGTTCCCGCTGAGTGTCGAAGATCCTTTCTCACGTGTTGATTCATTCTATCAGACGGTCCAGGAGCTTTCAGCCATGATCATCATGGTGGGCATCATGGCTTTGTACGAGGAGGCAAGCGAGGCGGTGGTTTTCGCCGTGCCGAAAGGGACGACAAAGTCCACGATACCATTATTGAAGAGCGAATTCAGCGGGAGCGTCCATGTCGTACATTATTCATTCGCAACATCAAGGCGAGTTTTACTTTTGGGGTAGGACATCTAAGCCATCACTGGAGCGAACGACCCCTACCCGTGAGATAGCCATCGTACTGACGTCGGCGATACAGTATGAGACGAATAGTGAAGATGTACGTCACTTGTTCGAGGAACATGGCGAGATACGGACTTTCTTTGATCTCATTGCAAATCGTGGGATGGTGTTCGTGACTTACGTGAGTGCTGTGCATTCAGAGAGTACATGAGTTGCTAAGTAGTGTCATAGTATGATTTACGGGCTGCAGAAAGAGCCAGGGAACGACTTCAAGGCTCAGAAATAAGCGGCAGACCGGTCAGTTTGATCGAGTGTGTCGTAGAAGTTTGCTCATGTCAAGTCGAAGATTGATGTGCACTACTCATTACCCCGAGATGACCATGGTTCACGAGGTGCTGATAAGGAGAAGAACCAGGTTTGTCGTTCGAGTTATGTGTATTGGAATATGTTTAACGTTCACCTGTCTTGTCGACAGCAACTTCAAGGTGCTCTGTTAGTGACCTTACGCAATTCTGCGACTGGTCAACCAATCGACGATAGCGAGGTACGTCGCAAATTTCAGCAGTTCGGCGACGTGAAAGATGTAAGGCACGCGGGTGAGAGGGAAGAGTACGCGCTACTTCTGTTGGGTTTCGAACCGAGCTGACTGGACAAACAGTCAACGTTACGTCGAGTTCTATGATACAAGAGTACGTCGCCTGCTTCACTATGGTGACATTGGATTAACCTTCTCGCAGGCTTGCGAAGAAGCCCACGATCGTCTACGGCACCAAGGACTGCAGGATGGTGTCATGGACATCGTATTTGCATCAGACCTAGATGACCGTTTCTTAGCCTGTTCCAGACGCTCATCAGGTGGCTAGAGGTAGTTATGGGATCAGAAGATGAGTGCGTGCATAAAGCCGAAAAGCATACTGGAACTGCTGCAGATGGTGGAACGAAAGCAGGCGGAGGTAGAGGAGCCGGAGGACCGCCATATCCGCTAGGAGGAAGAATCGGCCCTGGCCCGCCCATGGGAGGTGGCGGCGGCGGAGCACCATAACCTGGGGCACCAGCTCCTCTATTGTCGAAGCGATCCTCGAATCCAGGATCGCGAGCGTTCCTACCAAATTCATCTTCGAATGGCCGGTTACGACCACGGTCGCGTCCCCCATCGTCCCGTCTGTCCCAATCATTGCCACCCCAACCGCGTCCTCGCCCGCGCCCCCCACGACCCCCACGGCGACCTCGATGGCCGAAGTCTTCCCAGTCTCGCTGTCCACCGCCGTGACCGCCACCACCACCACCACCACCACCACCACCACCACCACCACCACCATGGCCGCCGCCACCACCACCATGGCCGCCACCACCACCACCATGGCCGCCACCACCACCACCATGACCGCCGCCGCCACCACCACTATTCCGATCAAATCCATCACGCCTGAAAAGTATATATAAGAACGCGTGACGACTTGGTAACTTTGTACGCACCGTGGGGATTCACCACGAGTCCAGCAGGTGCGCCGGTCCCAGATTGTCATCGCGCAGCTTCCACTCACTTTACTTGAATATAGTTGCTTGCAGCACTGAAACAGCCGGGAGGAGCGACCCTAGCAGCGCCTACTCAAAACTCTCCTCTGAACCAGCCACAGCCGCCAATGCCGCCACCCTCAAGTCAGCCTCCATACTACGGCGCACCACCACCTCCCATGCAAGGAGGATATCCCGGCGCTGTTCCTCCACCTGGTACCAATCCTTATTCTCCGTCAATGCCTCCGCCAGCCCCAACGCCAGCCCCAACGCCTGCTGCCTCAGCTCACACCGCCGGTGTGCCTAACCTGCCCCCAAACATTATGGCAATGTTGCAGCAAGGACAAGTGCCGTCTCAGCAAGGCTCCCCTCCGCCGCCTGGCATGCAACCGAGTACGTATGGAATGCCCCCGCAGCCAACGGCAATTCCTCCGATGCCCAGCATGAACAATATGCCTCCACTTAGCGCACAGCAAGGGTATCAACAGCTCATGGCATACCTGGTGAGTGTTCTGAATAATATTCTGAGAGCTCTGCCGTAAAGCGTTATCCTCTAGTCTCAAAAACGCCCGCAATAATAATCATTGTCGTCATATCGGGAACATTTCGACTCGTAGTCTATGATCGTATCGTTCTCGCTCTATGCTTGCAGAGCGGACCCACATAGTATTTTTATTCTTGTCCTCCGTAACTTATTCGTAGTTTAGTAGTCACAGCTTCGTAGTCCGTTGCCGTCTGTCTTCGTAGCACCTGACTCCTAAAGCGCCGCAGTACCGGGCGCTTACGCACTGGCGACTCCGTCTGCGACCACGACTTGTGCGGGCAACTTGCCACTCATGCTGAACCTCAGCAACCTTCGTACTTTACTCTCTCAGGTTACTACACCTGCTTCCTTGCATACAGCAGTGCTCTTTACGCCATCAGGCCAGCTGGTCTCTTTTGCATCAAACCCGCCACGTTCAAAGGACGAGATACGCGTTGTCGTGGGCCTAGGCGGAGAAATCTGGCAGGAAACTAAAGAGAATGGGATCGGCATGGTCGACAGCGAGGCACGTGGGCCAGGATGTGCTGTTTACATGACCGCTGAGTTCATGCGACTCATTTGTCACAGATCGGCCGGCTACTCGTCATTCCTATCGAGCAGGTAAAGCCCCAGTCGGAAAACCAAGAGGAGGAGACGGAGCCGTTGATGATCCTCGCCCTTAATGCTAATGACTCTGTGAGTTGGAAGGTTATGGAGGCCAAGGTGCGGCTCCTCTGTTACTATAATATGCGGCTGGTCATTCATGAACATGTGTAGGCCAGACAGCTTACTCGACATTTGGAGAAACCGGTCTCCGAGCTTCGCGCGAAACTAGCGGTCGCTCCAGCGTCTCCTATTGGCAACCCTCAACGAACGACTCGGTAAAACCGTCCCTTATCCCGAACTCCCTGAACGTTTTGACGCGTCATGCTATGCTTCGCTTTCGCGCTTTCCTCTGAGTATGCTAGACACTTTCGATATCCATGGGCTTCAATCCACATCTACCAGAGCTGTATATTGCAATTCATGTGATCCCACTATACCCTACCATGTAGCACTAGCTCGCCCTGTCCAATTGTGCTTGCTTGCTCTATCTGTTATAACTGCTCGTGCAAATATCATATACCTACCACCGCGGTTTGGATGTATGTGAGAAATTCTGTCATAAACTCCGCTCACCTCCGGTACCTGGGACGTGGAAGCGCTCACAACGTAATTCCAACTTTGCCTCTCCCGAGTCTCCGGCCTATTACTTAACGTCCTCGGCACTCCTCGAGGGCGACATTGCATACAGTGCTCTTGCTGGTCATGCGACAATGGTCGGTTGCAGCGGCACGCGTATCTCGCCAAAATTGTCTTCTTTGTGGCTTGCCAGGATCGTCAGTCACGCGAACAGCTGGAAAATGCTATAGCGTACAGGCTGCTGCTGCACAAGCGCGACCTTCCTCGACACGACGGTCAAAGGCGGACCAGAACGTCACAACTCCTCCACCGACACCGAGAAATTCGCGTCCGGACCCACATTCGTTGGTCGCCCCCCAGCTGAGCAAGCTCCGCGAAACGCTTCTGGACCTGCTGGGCTCTTCACACCCGTCCCTCACAGAGATCGCCAAATACTACTTCTTACACCCCTCAAAACAATTGCGACCGCTCCTTGTTCTACTCTTCTCGCAGGCCACCAACGGCCTCGGTGGACGGTGGCATGAGAAAAAGTGGGCTGCGGATTGTGAAGGTGCGGGCGGGCGCACGGAGGAGCTCGACTGGCCGTTGACGCGTCCGGACGTTCTGAACGACTGGAATCCGAATATGTCCGACCACACTGCGTCTTTCACGGTACCATTCTCCTTGCGTCCTCCACGTCCCCCGAGACAGCACCCCATACCACCTCCTCAGGCGGCTGCGGCTGCGATCCCGACCCTCTCCACGAGCCCGACACTGCTTCCCACACAAATCCGGCTCGCACAGATTGTGGAGATGATCCACGTAGCCTCGCTTCTGCATGACGACGTGATTGATAGGTCGCCGCTGCGTCGAGGCGCACCCTCAGCGCCCGCTGCGTTCGGGAACAAGCTGTCCGTGCTCGCAGGAGACTTCCTACTCGGCCGCACGAGTGCTGCTCTTTCGCGCCTGGGCGAGAACGAAGTCGTCGAGCTCATCGCCAGTGTCATTGCCAACCTGGTGGAGGGCGAGATCTTGCAGCTGAAGGCGGTCCACGGTGAGGACCTCGGGATATCCGGAAGTGCTGTGCGAGGGGCGGTGGGGCAGAATAACTGGAATGTTTATATGCAGAAATCGTACCTCAAGACAGCAACCCTTATGGCGAAGGGTGCACGTGCCGCGGTCGTACTTGGAGGATGCAGAGAGGGAGAAGTCTGGAAGGAGATCGCTTATGCATACGGTCGCAACCTTGGGCTAGCATTCCAGGTCGAGTACCTTGTATTCATAAGAGAGCTGGTTCACTTACTTGATCTTCCAGCTGATGGATGATGTCCTCGACTATGAAGCTGGGGAGGGAACGCTTGGCAAGCCGGGTGGTGCTGACCTGAAGCTTGGCCTCGCTACTGGCCCTGCTCTGTTTGCATGGGAGGAGCACTCAGAGATGGGTCCGCTTATAGAGCGCAAATTCTCTCAGGAAGGCGATGTAGAGCTTGTACGCTCTCTCTATCCCCACTATATGCTGCGAGCTGACCATCTTCTTTTCTCCTTTGTAGGCGCGAGATCTTGTCCGTCGTTCGTCGGGTGTCGAACGCACGCGCAGCCTCGCATTATCGTACGCCGACAAAGCTCGCGAGGTACTCTCGTTACTTCCGGAGAGCGATGCCAAGTCCGCACTAGAGGTATTAGCCGAACGTGTGGTTAAACGGACGTCATGACTGTTTAGATGATACATGGACGATAATCTAATATCCCCATACACGACTTACATTTCTGTTTCGGTGCATGCAAAGTTCCTGGTGACCCACTCTTTCCCGGCAAAATGCGAGATAGGTTAGTTGGCGGTCCCTGGGGTTCTCGCTCTACATCTGGTCAATGCGTCATAGGACCCAAGGCACCCCAGTTCGAACACGTTCGTGTTGTTTTTCTCTCTTGTCGCTCTGACCTGTCACTGTTCTCTCTTCTCTCTCCTTCACCTTCCTCAAGACTCGCGTAAGAATAATGCTAAAACGTTCCGCGTCCACCCACCGCAGCTCTCTCTCGCCTTCTCTCAAACGCATTCGCTCTTCCACTTCACAAGCAATACTGGACGCCACGCCAGACAAAAATCCGCGTTCCGAAAAACCTCGAGGTAGGAAGTCGCTCGTCACATCACTGTCCCTCGATGCTGGAGCAAAGGCTGCCGACGCACCCTCCAACGCAGCTATCCGCAGGCGGATGAACCCTGAAAGCTTAGCGGGCCGACTTGGTCCAGAGCTCGTCCAGGAGCTTGAGAGCCTGCTGAAACCCGGTATGACAGAGATGCCATCGTTTGCGGTACGGCAAGAGATACAGCAGCGATACGGCATTGATAGAAGACATATTTACGACTGGTTCCATAACAAAGGACTACGCGTTACTACCTCCGAGAAGCGGGAAGAACGACGCGCTATGCGAGCTCAGGAGCACGCACACATGCCCACAACGCGCAATCAAGCCCAGGTATGTCATTTCAACGGCAAACGGGCCTTGATAATGTGTTTATCCTGCCTTAGGGGAAGAAGAGAGTGGCCACGGACTCTTTGCCTTCGAGTGTTTCAATGCCAATTTTACGCCACACTTCTCCTGATAGCGAGACATCTACTCCGGACTTACCTGAGAGCTCGATTTCTGGCATTACTGGCGGTCAGCTCTCGTATGAAACTGTCTGTTCGATGAGAGAGAATCTAGTGTACTCTCTCGCCCGGCCTGGCGACTATGCAGATATGCTCTACGACTCTCAGACCATGGAGACCGCGACGGATCCCATATCTGGCATGGTTGGTCAACTGCCTACGACACTAGACTGCGTGTATAGAGCCGACACTGGGGATGGCGCCTCCAAAGCTTATGTCGACCGTACTTCCCACTGGATATTGGAACAGCAGAAGATACCGTACAGCCCTATCTTGGATGCTTATGCGCCTCTGTCTGCATCTGGGAAAGAAGACCGGGAGATCCTGGATGCTATCTTGCCATTCCACAGCGAGAAAGTTCTCCCTCAGCATCAACGTGAAGCTTGCTATCGGTCTCTGTCTGAGGCTTTGCCTCCTGCATGTGGCATCGAGGAATGCGTCGGCACTTACAAAGCTTTCATGTCTCGGCAAGGCCAAAAGTATTACGAACGACTTGTCTCTGGCTACAGTCATGCATCTCGTTGCCGGTCTACGGTACACACTCCCGCCTCGTCTTCGCTGATGGCTCCCGGCGTCTCGCCCTCGACCGTGTCGGCTTCCGCTTCTCTCTCAGGACGAATTGCAACTCCTCGCACGCAGGCTCTCGGCTCCAGTGCCGATCATTGCAAATGGGCTCCCCCTGGCGGACTGGCTCACGCTCCCGTCGTCGCGCCTTCTCCGTCGCAGACACCCGCGCTTTCGGAGTCTGCCACCACGGCAAGCAGCAGTGCCTTCTGGTCTCATGACGGTGGCGTCGAACATCGCCGCGAACGTTCTGCCGCGTCTTGTATCGATATCGCCGAGATCCTCGAAAGCCCGGTCCTACGGTCCAGACATGCTACACAAGTTTCGCTCACGCACGCGTCGCCGCGATATGGTCCCGCAGGCATCGATCCTGCCTTCTCTTCTTTATACGGCATCGATGCTATCGGCACCCCAGTCTCCTTCACGTACACGCCGCCAACTGTATGCTACGACTACAACCGCGGTCACCACTATACCGCCTCGTTCTCTGGCTCGACTGCTCCTTGTGCTATCTCCGCACCACACAAGATGTATGCACATCAGACCCAGAAGACGAGTCCCTTCGACAACCAGAATCTACGCCGCGAAATCGATATCCGTGGTGACAGCAAAGGGAAAGGTGTGCCGACTGGAAATCACTAGAACGTCTTGGCATTTTGTCATGCATTCGTCTCGCGTTTGGCACTCGCAGTTGGCTCGAATAAAAGGGCGTAGATCATTATACTCGTAACTGGCTAGCCTACGTGATACTACGTGAAAATGAGGTGGCGTAAAATGGATGATTCTACATTAGCAACATGTATGAACAAGAGAGCAAATGAGGTTGAGTGACAATGTGCGCCCAGAAAACATATGAGAGAAAGCTACTCGACAGCAGTGAGAGTGATATGGATGAGTAAGATTAGCATAGTACAAGTCAGGCATCTCTAGAGCCCGAGACATCAAGACAAGAAGTGCAGAGTCGCACAGCGTTGAAACTGCACGCAGGGCATGTACAACAAAGAATCTAGATCTAGCCACAGCACGGCTTGACTTCGCGGATGAGGCCGCTGTGTCCGATGCCTTCCCATGCGATGCCGACGACCTTCTCGCGTACCTCTAGCACCTGCGCAGCCTCGGGCCTGCACAGATTCTGCAGTGCACGCATGCGCAGCAGGAGCGGGTTCGCGACGGGGCGGTACCGCGACGTCAGTTCTGTCGGCGGGTGCGGCAACCGGAACGGGGACCGCGGTATTGGAGGCGGTGGCGGGAACACGCGCGGGGCCTCCGGGGGTGACGTACAGGGAGCACGAGTATACGCGAGCGGGATCAGGGCGCGTTCAGGCACGGGTGCAGCGCAGGCGTCGACGGAGGTGAAGACCTCGACGTCCTCGCTGCAGGCGCGGTAGCCCTCCGGTCTCGGGGCGCTCGTGCGCATACGCGAGCGCGGTGTCGACGAGCGGGCGCGGCTGCGCGAGCGCGATCGCGATCGCGAGCGGGGATAAGGGGATGATTGGAAGTAGACGTCAGGGTTAGCGGTGTACATTGTCGCCCTGACGTAGGCACGCTGGAACTGGGCGGCCATGTCCACGAACGTCGACACGCTGCGGGAAACACGTGCCACGATGCTCACTGTAGCAGCTGTGCTCGTCGTCGAGGACGAGTGACTTGAGGCATCGAAGCTTGTGCGGCGGTTGAGCATCCGCCCGCGAGTATATGTGTCGTCATCCGCAGACTTAGGCAGGTGTGAGAAAGAGCGCGCTCTTGGTCTCAGATCGCCCAGGGGCGTTTCGGAGGGGGCGACCGAGGTAGATAGCGTGCGGGGTGTGCGTGGGCTACGAGCACGACGCGCCGCAGGTTTAAGGCAGTCTCGGCTGGTGGATGCTGCCAGTTGGAAAGATTTGTCGTATGACATGGCGGGTGACGCAGGTGGGGAGGTTGCCGCAGTGGAGACGGAGACACGGCTACCGAAAGAGAACCAAGAAGTAGACCGTCTGATGCTCGACGAGAGTGAGATCGCCAGGGAAGTGGTCAACGAGGATGTCGAGACACTTGCCCGGATAATTGAGCAGTTGTGGTCTGGTACCCCGGCCCTCGCCTTGCCTTTGTCGGACGTAATGGTGCGCCGCGGAACCTGTTCTTCGCGATCGTCCCACGTCACCGACTGAAGCAGCGTCTTGAGTAACTCGAGTTCCTTAGTGGACTCTGCCTTCTTCGACAATTCGCCGTCGTCTTCCGCAGGGAACAGCGCGCCATCCATGCTGGCGACAACGTCAGCGAAGGGTATACTTCGATTAGCAAGCGTCGAGAGCACTCTGTAGGGTCCGTCCGCGGTACTCTTCGTCGACTGGTATGCTGGGGGCGAGATTCGAGCAGCTGGGGCAGGAATGAATGGGTACTCAAACAAAGGTCCGTTGTACGCCGACATGGGTGGCAAGTTCGACGTGGCCGCCTTCGCACGCCTACTGGAGGCGGAGAGGTGATCGAAAGATAAAACAGGACGATGGATCCCACTGCTGTAGCGAACCGTTCGCACGGCACGCGAGGCACCTTCCTTATCGCGCTCCTGAGCGCGGACGCGTCCGCGCACCTCCATGTCGAGTCGTCGCCGGACACAGGCCGCCGCCTCCTTGCGACGAGTCACCTTAACCTTCTCGGCTTGCAATGCGCGAGAACTGTTCTCCCAGATCTGCTCACACGCCCTGAGACGATCTTCCCGCGCTCTCCGCCGTTGCAGTTCGCGCGCGCGTTTCTCAGCCTCTCGACACTGTCGCTCCTGCTCCGCGCCTAATACCAAACCTCCACGCGGGACAAAGGCGGAAGAGAAGTCTTCGTCCTTGACTTGGTCGATCCTCGGGTCTTTGTCGTCGGTGACTTCGATGCCCTTCAGCTTCAACAAGAGGATCTTGGCCAGGTGCATGTTGTCGTGTGCGTACGCGACTTGCATCTGGTCTTGTAACGTGCGCGGTGGAGATGGCGGAGACTCGTAATAATCGAAGGGAGGAATGGTGTACCGTGCAGGCCACAAATCGTTGGTGACTGTGGGTGGTGTCAATGGCGCCGGGGTGATGTCAGAACTCGTCGAGGACGTTGAGGACTGTGAACAACTGCGGGTGCCTCGTCATTTCTCTCGGACGTAAACGGACGGCACGCGAGACTCACCTAAATGGCGGACAGGGTTCGAGACGTGAGGAAGAGGCCACATGATGGGCAGGAATGGGATACACAGCCTGTGCCGAGTCCACGTTGT